TGATCCCTATCCAGCTGAATTCCTGAGAGGAGACAAAATCCAGGTCTCCTACTCCTCCGCCATCTTGCTCCCTCTGGAAGCATTGACATATTAATGATACTGAGTTGTGGGACCCATAAACACTGTATAGCTCTCACTTTATTTAGGTCTTCTCTAATTTATCTGTGCCGTGTTTTGTAGTATTCAATGTACAGGTATTTCTCGTCATTGGTTGGGTTTATCCCTGAGTATTTCATATTTTTAGGGCTTTTGTAAGTTGCATTTTTAAAATTTCAGTTTCTAGTTGTTCATACTGTTATATATAAATACAACTGATTTTTGTATATTAATGCTATGTCCTGTAGCCTTGCTAACCTCAATATTAGTTCCTGTAGCTTTTTTTATAGATTTCCTTGGATTTTTCTATATTAGTGGTCATATCTTCTGTGAATAAAGATAGTTTTACTTTTTTCTTTTTACTCTGGATGCCATTGATTTCTTTTTTTCTGCTTATTTTTATTTCACTGTCTAGTACTGCCAGTATTGTTGAATAGAAGTGGTGAGGGAGCCATCCTTGTCTTGATCTTAGGGGAAAAGCTTCCAGTCTTTCGTAATTAAACATAGTGATAGTTGTAGGTTTTCATAGATACTTTTATCAGGTTGAGGAATTTGCCTTTTTTTCCTACTTCACTGAGAGTTTTGAACAGAAATGGATGTGGATTTTTTCAAATTCTTTTTGCACATCTATCAAGATGATCATATGAGTTTTCTTTTTTGGTTTGTTGATATGATGAATTACGTTCGTGAGTTTTCAAATGGCAAGTCAATCATGCATTCCTGAGATAAAGCTCAATTGGTCATTATGCAATTAATTTTTATATATATTTTCATTCAATTTGCTAAATAGCTTTCCCTAGCATTTTTGCATCTGTGTTGATGAAGAACATTAGTCCATAGGGTGTTGTTTTTAATAATGTCATTATCTGATTTGATTTTAGTACCAGGGTAATGCTTTTCTCATAGAATGAGTCGGGAAATATTCACTCCTCTTCAGTTGTGTAGAATTGGTATTTTTTCTTCCTTAACTCTTTGGTAGAATTCACTGGAGGGGCCATCTGTGCCTGTGGGGACTTTTTGTTTGTTTTTTTCTTAATATTTTTTTATTTGGGTATAGTTGACATACAATGTTACATTAGTTTCAGGTGTACAACGTAGTGATTTAGCTTCTTTATATGTGGTAGGTTTGTATTTCTCAAGAAATTTGTCTCTTTCATCTAAATTGTTAAGTGTATTGGAACTAAGTGGCTTATAAATCTTCCTTATTGTTCTTTTTTATTATCTGTGGTGATGCCCCCTCTCTCATTCCTGATATTGGTAATTTGTGCCCTCTCTCCCCCCCCGCCCCCTTGATCAGTCTGGCTGGAGGTTTATCAATTTTATTAATCCTCTCAAAGCACTTCCTTTTGGTTTTATGGATATTATCTCTCTCTCTCATTTTCTATTTTATTCATTTCCACTCTGATCTGCATAATTTCCCCCATTTCTACTTAGAATTTTATTTGCTGTGTATATTTTTTTCCCCTAATTTGCAAGGTAGAAGGTGAAGTTACTGATTTGAGACCTTCCTTCTTTTCCTATATAGGGATTTAGTGCTGTAAATTTTCTCTAAATACTGCTTGAGCAACATCTCACAGATTTTGGTGTGTTGTCTTTATTCTTATTCAACTCAAGATATTTTCTAATTTCCACTTTGATTTCTTCTTTCTTTTGATTTTTCTCTTTTTTTGGTGTCTTTCATCGGGTTATTTTTGTCCAAATATTTGTGGATTTTTCCAGAGATAATTCTCTTATTGATTTAAAACTTAATTCCACTGTAGTCAGAGAGATACTTTGTGTGACTTGAATGTTTTTAAATTTATTGAGACCTGTTTGTTGCCCCGGAATAGTGTCTATATTAGTTCCATGTTCTGCATGCACTTGAAAAGAATGTGTATTCTGCTACTGTATGGAGTGTTTTGTAAGTGTAAATGAGATCAAACTGGGTCTTGATGTTTTCTGTATCTTCTATAACCTTGTTGATTTTCTATTTCTTCTTTCAATTATTGAAAGAGGGCTAGTGAAATCTCCCCTACAAAATTGTGCATTTTGAAATTTCTTTTTGCTGTTTTCTTGGTTCTTGCTTCATGTATCTTCATGCTCTGTGATTGAATGCATAAATGTTTAGAATTAATGCCTTTTCCTATTAGGAAATGAACTTCTTTATCCCTAATAATGTTCTTTGAAATCTACTTTTCTTGACATTAGTATAACTGTTCAAGCTGTCTTTTGGTTAGGCTGGCATAGTATATCTTTCTCCATCCTTTTACTTTTAACCAATTTGTGTCTCTGTATTTGAAATCAGTTTCTTGTAGGCAATGTCTATTGAATCTTGCTTTCTTAGTCCAATCTAATAACCTCTGCTTTTCATTATATTATTTAGACCAGTTTCATTCAAGGTAGTTATTCATATAGTGAAGTTTAAATCTAGCACTTTGATACTTGTTTTCTATTGTGCCATCCATTTTAACCCTTCTTCTTTTTGCTGCCTTCTTTTAGATTGATTATTTTTATTACTCTCTTTTATTTTGTTTGTTTTAGTAGTTGCTTTAGGGCTTAAAGTATATGTTTTAATTTGTTACAGTCTACCTTCGAATAGTAGTACGCCATTTCAGGTATAGTATTTCAGGTATAGTATAAGAACTTCACAATAGTATATTTACATTTCCCCCTTCTGATTTTTGTACTATTTTTGTTACAGATTTTACTTTTTAATGTAAAGCAACTTCATGTTACTTTGCCATTATCTTTGTTTAAGCAGTTCCTTATCTTTTAAGGAGATTTAAATAATAACTAAGGTTATATATTCTTACCTACATAGTTACTATTTCTCATTCCTTTGGTGATCGTCATTCCCTTGTATAGATCATATTTCCATCTAGTATTACTTATTGTGCCTGAAAAATGTCATTTCACATTAGTTGTAGTGTGGATCTGATGGCAGTGAATTCTTTCTGCTTTTGTATGTATGAACAAATAGTCATCTCATTTTTGTTTTTCAAAAATATTTTCAAGGGGCACAGAATTCTAAGTTTTTTTCTCTCAGTACTTCAAAGATATTGCCTCACCATCTTTTTGCTTGGATTATTTCTGATGATAAATCTGCTATTATTCTTAGGTTGTTCCTCTGTGAAATAACACATCTTTTTCTTCTGGCCAGTTTTAAGAATTTCTCTTCAACTTCGGTTTTGAGAAATGTAGTCACGATGGGTCCAGGTGCACTCCCTGCATCTCCCATCCTCTTTGACCGGTGGTTCCCCCAAAACTTGTGCTTTTCATCGTGAATGGCAGGAATACAAAACAGCTAGTCAACCATGCAAGCCTATTTCAAGCCTTTGCTTGCATGATACTCGCTAACATCCATTGGCCAAAGCATGACAGGTGGTCATCCCCAAGTCAAGGTGACCAACTCCATCTATCAGGAGGCCATGGCAAGGTTAGGCATAAGGATTATGATCAAAGGATATACCTGTACTAGAAGAAGTTCAGTACTTCAGCTGTAAGCTTGGATGTTCCTAGCAGAAGACACTTCATGAAATATAGTAAAAAGATTATTATAATTGGTAAGATTTTTCCCATTGAATATTTTCCTCTCTGTGGTTTACACATCTAGTCTCCTTTCTTGTGAGCACATTCTAGGTCACCTCTTCTAGACTTTTAATGGTGAAACAGTACTTAAGCTCTAGCTTCCAAAAGCTTAAGAATGTTGAGACCATATCAGAGTTTCTCTAATGGGTAGAAGGAGTGAGAGATTAGTTTTCTTTTATAACTTTAAGAGAAATTACATGTCTCTGTGTGTTTCAACATGTAATGATGGAATTGTTTTACAAAGGAATATTACATCAACAGGCAACTCCTTTTTTGTTCTTTTTGTAGTTCTATCAAACTACTCTTTGATATGAGTGCCTTAAAGGGTAACTCTCAAGAATTCAGGGTACAAAACCAAGTAGAAATTGAGTCTGAAGAAGCCAACAGCACATTTTGAAGGCAGCCAAATATACAGATATTTGAGGACAGTGGTTTTACACAGATACACTTCATTACCAATAGTAATTAATAATGGTTTAGTTTCCATTTCCATTTAGAGTATCTTCTATATAGTATATACAGTGGATTCATTCTCTTTACTACTGACAGTAATCTTACTAGGTAGTATCGCTTCCATTTTATGCATGAAGAAATGGAGGCTCAAAGAAGCTGAACTAATTGCCCAGAGAGAGACAGCTAGCAAGTGGCAAAACTGGGTGCAAACCCAGATCCATCGCAAAGTCTAAGCATAGCTCTGTATAGTCTAATACCTCTTTTCATCCTTGATGTCTAAATTCCCATCCAAGCTTCCTTAAGGGGATCCATTATGCTCATGGAGGATTAATGGACGTATTTGGATGGGTTCACATTTTATGAAGCATTTACAGACTCTCAAGAATTCTTCTGCAGATCCTCAGGGTACCCGTTTGAGAGATGGGGGACTGGATCTTAGCAGCAGCCTAGAAAAGCACCAGAGTCAAAGGCATCCAGCTGTTGCAGTCCTGCCTCGGCTGCATTACAGCTGAGGGACCCAGGACATCAGCTAAACTCATTCTGCCCATTCTCCTCATCCCCAGATGGAGAAATGATGCCACTACTCCTTGAGTTTTGTAACAATTAGACGGTGCAGGTGAAATGAATGAAGTTTGAAGAATCTAGTAAGGTAATTCTTTGAAAGCAATAACAGTGTGGTGGGGTTGTCATCATTAGACGGCAGCAAAGTGCCCTAACCTGAGTTAATACTTATATGTATTAAGTTCTCAGGACAGTGCCTAGCATATTCGAAGTGAATATAGGTGTTTGCAGAATTTTAAAAATATAACTTGTGTCAATATAAATGTTGAAAAACAGACTGAGGCAGATTTTGCATATGGGCCAAAGGAATCGGTTGATAGCTTTGTGATTGTTAAAGAAAGAAGGATCTCAGAAGAGCATTATCCTTGGGAAATCTGAAAAGTGTATAAGTGTATATATTTGTATGCTGCAAAATAGATAGCTCAAGGGGCACCTGGGTGCCTCAGTCATTAAGCGTCTGCCTTCGGCTCAGGTCGTGATCCCAGGGTCCTGGGATTGAGCCCCGCATCGGGCTCCTTGCTCCGCGGGAAGCCTGCTTCTCCCTCTCCCACTCCCCCGCTTGTGTTCCCTCTCTCACTGTGTCTCTCTCTGTCAAATAAATAAATAAATCTTTAAAAAGAATAGCTCAAAACCAATAACATGATACTGAAGCAGATTTCCTACTACAGTGAATGTGGATATACTAAATAAAGTATTATCTTTTATGTCCCAAAGCTTTACATACGGTTTTAAATTTTATCTCTATGATCAATATTAATCAAAAGTACTCTTGTTCTTTAAAATCTTTCTCTACAGGGAGCCTGAGTGGCTCAGTTGGTTAAGTGTCTGACTCTTGATTTCAGCTCAGATCATGATCTTAGGGTCGTGAGATCGAGCACTGTGTTGGGCTCCTCACTCAGCGCACAGTCTGCTTGGGATTCTCTCTCTCCCTCTGCCCCTCCCCACACTCGCACATGTGCATGCTTGCTCTCATAAATAAATAAATAAATAAATAAATAAATAAATAAATAAATCTTTCTCTGAACATCCCTGTTCTTATATATGCTTTATCCGTGGTTGTGACTTTTCAGTTTCTAGGCAACAGATGGTCAAAATTGAAGCTTATTTCAAGCATCAAACACATGTAACGTGATTCTCTGTTGATCCAGTTCTATTCACCATGATAGCTTATGGAGACTTTATTTCAGCTCTGACCCTTGCTATGTAACTTGAGCCAGGGTTAGGCGAACTTCAAGCCCATGTTACTTTTTTGTATCACAATAAATGAACAAATATTAATGTTCAGTGTTATAAATGTTTTCCTATTATCATAGCAGGACTCTTCTCCTAGGTCTTATTTGTCTTACCTGTTTCTAATCCAAGAGTGTTATTTTTTAGTAAACGTTGGGGGACAGGGTTCTCTCTCCGCCTCTTTGCCTTTCACCCTCCCTCCCTCATACGCACAGTTGAGACCACCAGCATTATGGATGAAGAATGGATTATACAAAAACTAGATCAAGGGATAGGGTCCCTCTGGGAGATGAGGCAGGTGGATGAAGTCAAAATAGACAGTGTCCCTTCCTTTTTACGTGCCAGCTTTGCAGGGAACATCACAACAGTGGGCTTCAGTAATGGGTCCAAGCCTTGGCCCATTTTATCCATCTGGTCATCTGTAATTCTTGACCTGAGATTTCTGAACTAGCAGAGGGGAATCCTTGGATCTTGGTGGCATCAGGACATACCTCTCAGACATTTTCTTCATTGGCTGGATTCAGAGCTGGACAAAGGAGAGGAACTAAAAGCCTGGGTCACATTCCTGGGTGTCTTAGATGATAGTTGGCCAGAATTGGTTATTTCCCCCTTCGCCACATTTAGCTGGTGACTCTGGGAGCTTATGGGTGAGCCACCTAACTGGTAAACTATCTGAGCCTGCTTTGGGGATATTCAGTGGCGTTGAGGATCATACATGGATTATATCATAAAGTCTCATACTTTGTTTTATTTTAACAGAACGAAGCCCCTGAGGTGAAGAAAGAGGAGACATTGTTGGATCTGGACTTCGACCCTTTCAAGCCTGAGGTGGCACCTGCAGGTTCTGCCGGAGTGACCCACTCCCCCATGTCGCAGGTAGCCAGGGGCAGTTCTGATGTTTGGGGATGACATTTCATAAACTTGAATAAGCTCTATGATGCAGCAAATGCCTCTCAGGGACCCCCATCCATTTCAAGTGACTATTCACTTTTCTTTGGGGTTGACAAACATTCCCCAATGGGAAGGAAGAGTAGAAAGAGGACTATCCATAGCTCTCATTCCAAAGCTCCCCCCCCCACCATTAGCTCTCTCTATCCATAGAGCTGGGATAGCCATGCATTCCGGCTTGCCCAGGAATCCTCCATTTCAGAGTAATTGTCATTATTAGTATTAGTTTGCACTCAGAGTGTTCAGCTTCGGACAATACATTTTCTGGCTTCTCTAAACGAAGCTCTTTCTTTGGCCCTGGGCTTAATCTTCTTACTGTTTTCTCTACTTTCCTTCCCCATGTTTTGCATATTAAAGCACGTTAGAAATGACCTTGAAATTATGCCCCAACAGAAATGTTTTCCAGTCTTGGTAGTTTTGAACTCGAAGTCCTTGTTCTCCTCCACATTGCAGAAGCTTCCCTTATGTGATCTTGACTATGGCCAGAGTTGGCCTTGCTTATCCAGCTTGTCCTTGCTCATCACTTCCTCACCCTTAGCATTTCCTCACTCCCAATAGTGATCGCACAGCGTTCTCCTGCAGAGGGGTCCTGGAGGTGGGCACAGTAATGACTTCCAGATGATTCCTCTGTAGTAGACTTCCTTTGCAATTGTCTGTGCTCACAAAAGGAAGTTAACTCAAAATTTGGCAAAACAGAAATTGTTTATATCCGTATTTTTAATGTGCTTGGGAGCTCACATTTGAATTTGGGCAAATCCAAAGATGTTAGAATATACTTCGAATTAATTAATGAAGGTGTATTATAAAACTGAAGTTGAGAATTGAGACCTCACTCAATTTTCTGGTCTTGAAGTCTTGTGATACCTTACAATAAACCACTATCAGCTCAATATAAACCTCGATAAATAAAGCTTCTAATCCATGCTTTCTTCCAGAATATGATTGGGTTTCTAAAGGCCTCCCTGTTGTAATTTGGGAACAATAAAAATCTGAGATGTCAATAAAGCAGGTAATTAATAAGCAGATCAGATACTAGCCTTAAAGATACTTGCAAAAAATGGGTCTCTTAGAAAATGTTTGGGAAAGTTCTATTAACTCTTTTAAAAGGAGAGTCACGATATGCATCGAAATATTTTTTTAAAATTTTTTATTGTTATGTTAATCACCATACATTACATCATTAGTTTTTGATGTAGTATTCCATGATTCATTGTTTGTGCATAAC